TTGGGTGTATACATAGTGTATTCGTAATGAGTTGGATGTATACATAACATATTAGTAACTTATATAGAACATTTTGATAACTTATATTCAGTGTTGGGGAGTAACAGATTACATGTACCGGCGTTTTGTAATCAGAGTACAAATTATGAGTAACTGTATTCAGTTACAGTTACTGTTTCAATGAGTGGTAATTGGATTACAGTTACTTTGTTGAAATAAATGGATTACGTGGTGGTATTTTATAAAAAATTTTTTAAATTTCTTAATTTCAGTAATTTCACTCATTGCCTGAAACCCAAACAGAACATGTGCAATAAGAGCCACATAAACGTCTTGTTAACGTTGGTGGCGTCAGTCACTCAATGGACGAGGTTGTTAATAATCGTCGTTGTTGATAATCTGATTCTGCATCATTTTGAGTAAAAAAAACATCAAATATTACAGATTTTCACTGGGCTAGCGCCTTTATGTTTGTACTGAAAGTTAGTGTCATATATCATTTATTTAAAAAAAAAAAATAACAGTAGGTGGACATAATTTAAAGCAGCAGTGATCTCATATATATATAAGCATTTCTCTATCAATAATATTTTCTAATACAGTTAAGGAAAGACTGTACTTTTTATTGTCTAAGCAGACAAAAGATCTCATGTTAAGATCCTCGTCTTTGCTTCTCTACACCAAACAAAAGTCTGTTCATGGAGACTTGGGCTCAACAGACAATTTGAAGAGAACAAACAAGAATTTTCAGGATGTGGTTGGTACATTCATGTCGTTTTAAAAAGCATGACAATATCAAGTAATCCAAAGTATTCAGTTACGTTTCAATTACGTTACTCACTTTAAGTAATTTAATGGATTCTGTTACAAACTACATTTTGGGGTATGTAATCTGTAATCTTTAGGGGAATACATTTTAAAAGTAACCTTCCCAACACTGCTTATATATAACTTATACTAACTAATGCTTATTGTGTTGTCAGTGTCTGCAATTTATGCCCAATGACAGTCTAACTTATGCACAGCGCACGACAGAGTATCACCTACGATCATGTGTCATCGCCTATAAAAACACTGACATTCGACGATTCATAACTGCACTAGACCTCGCAGTAGCAACATTAATCAGCATCATACCGAAGACAACTCCTAAGAACGCTGCCAAGAAGTGTCCTGGTCATGGCTCTGTTGGCACGCAGCTCGCACAGTGACAAATCGATGAGATCGTGCTGATGTTGGAGGACGGCTAGTATGTATTCTCGTGTCAGACTTGCTGGATCCTCTATCTCTGGGATGATATGTGTAGCAGGTGGTACCACGGGGCCTGTCCACCATGAACTCTGGAGGAGGACTGACGATTTCCCCATTTTTATAAACCAGTTTCCCTACACGCTGCCAGTACTCCATTATACAGTAGCTATAAGATAAAAACACATTCAGTAAGTTCTGTGGTCGTCTGAACATGTACGTCTGAATACATCAATATGTGTTTGGAGGTAAGTTGGACATAAATTACATACAGGTTCAAAACACGTTACTCGTAAGTCACACTAGACATTATCTCAACATATTTGGACGTATAAATAACTTACAATTAACATGTGCCCACGTATGCAGCATGTATAAACACACTGACATACATCCAGACATTTTCAGCATGCTCAAACTTTTTCAACGACCTTTGCCGTATGTTGCCGTATGCCAGCGTCCTTCAGCGAGCTCATAATTTATTTTTATTTATTTTTATTTTATTTATTTATTTTTTATTTACAAACTACATACATTACAACAAATAGGAACCAAACAACATACAAGACACAAGACAGACATTACGATCGAAAATGTATACAAAGAGGGACAAAGGGGGTTGGTGACAGTGTGAACCTTATATGTGTGTGTCTGTGTGTGTGCACGTGTGTGTGTGTGTGCATATGCGTATGTGTGTGCACATATGCGTGTGTGCATGTTGTCATATGCATGTGTGCATGTGTGCATATGCGTGTGTGTGCGTGTGTGTGCATGTGTGTGTGTGCGCATGTGTGCATATGTGTGTGTGTGTGTGTGTGTGTGTGTGTGTGTGTGCATATGTGTGTGTGTGTGTGTGTATGTGTGCATGTATGTGTGTGTGTGTGTGTGTGTGTATATGTGTGTGTGCATGCATGCATGCATGTATGTGTGTGTGTGTGTGTGCATGTATGTGTGTGTGTGTGTGTGTATGTGTGTGTGTGCATGTGTGTGTGTGTGTGTGTGTGCATGTATGTGTGTGTGTGTGTGTGTGTGCATGTATGTGTGTGTGTGTGTGTGTGTGTGTGCATGTATGTGTGTGTGTGTGTGTGTGTGCATGTATGTGTGTGTGTGTATATGTGTGTGTGCATGTGTGTGTGTGTGTTTGTGTGCACAGGGCTATACAGATGATTTACTGTTGACCTGTATTATTATTAGTTAATCTGAGTATTGAAAATGAGTTAAGTGTGTGTTGGAGTTTTGCCTCAGATCCCCACTGGAGCAGGCCGAGCCACGCCCACGCCCCCCATGGCGAGTGCCGGGGCCACCCCCAGAGCCCCACATGTGACCGCCCACCGACCAGGCCGGCCAGCCCCTCGACGAACCATCTCTTGATCTGTACGTTCCCCCTCTTTGATATATATGTACATATATATGTACATATATATGTACATATATATGTACATATATTCACATACACACAAGCCTGCAAACACACTCACACACTCACACACATGAACCCACATTCATCCATGATCGACTTGTGATGCATTAAAAAAAGTTGGGTGTGATGCATTAAAAGTATCAGGGAGGTGAGGAGCTTGGAGGTAGAGCAGAGAGAGGAGCCAGCACAGAGGTCAGGCCCCGAGGAGACGGGAGAGCAGCTCATAACTTATACAAAAGTTATCTAGAACTTCTCTGATGTACATACAAATACACGGGCTAAATCATCCAGGTGTGACAGCCCCTTCACATGAGGTTTACAGCAGATTTCATCATCTTTAATAACACCAAGAAACTTCTGTTCATCTGTTTGTTCTACACAATCTAAAGAGGTTTAATGCCACACTGTGAAACATTCCAGACAAAACAATAACATCTCCATGGAGACAAGCATTTGACAGACCCTCCACCAGAAAAACTTACACAATGTAAGTAAAAAGTTTAGGTATCTGTACTTTACTTAAGCACTTTTCACTTTGACTTCACTGCATTTGAGAGCAGATATTTGTACTTTCTACTCCACAAAGCTTTTGAACAGGACTGAAAAGTAAAAGTTTTATGATTATGATTATTATGATTATTATTATTATAGTCTGAGACCTGCTGAAAAGGATTTACTTTTTACTTCTTCCACCACTCTACAGATTATATTGATCACAAAAGTCCAGTTATAGCGCCATCTGCTGCACAAGTGGCTGTGTAACACTTCCTAAATCTGAACTGAAGTTATTTTAAAATGGAAACAGAAAATAACAAGGTCAAAGTGTGATTTTTTTTTTTCAAAACAACAAAATAAAGCAGATTACTTTAACTCTATGAAGCCCATCTCAACTATTTAGGCCCAAACAGAACAAGACTAAACTAGGACTAAACCAAAATGAAACCAGGATTAAAGCCTGGGCTGAATCAGGACTAAAGCATGACTTAACTAGCATTAAACCAGAACCAGGACTATACCAGGATAAAAGCCAAGACTGAACTAGGAGTAAACCAAGACAAAACAGGACTGAACCAGGACTAAACCAGGACTGAACTAGGACTAAAACTGAATTTAACCAGGACTAAACCAGGATTAAAGCCTGGACTAAAATAGGAGTAAATCAAGACTCAACCAAGACTATACCAGGATTAAACCAGACCTAAACCAGGACTAAAACAGAATATAACCAGGACCTCACCAGGACCTAACCAAGACTAAACCAGGACTAAACCAGGTTTTTAGCACCAGGACTAAACTAGAATTAAACCAGGATTAATGCCTGGACTAAACTAGGAGTAAACCAAGACTAAACCAGGACTGAACCAGGACTACGGCTAAATTAAACCAGGACTAAACTAGAACTAAAACAGAATTTATCCACAATCTCACCAGGATTTAACCAGGTCTATAACAGGATTAAAACCAGGAATGAAACAGGACTAAACCAGAATTAAACCAGGATTAAAGCCAGGACTAAACTAGGAGTAAACTAAGACTCAACCAAGACTGAACCAGGACACAACCAGGACTAAACAAGACTGAAGCAGGACTAAATAAGCTTGAACCAGGCCTAATCCAGGAATAAACCAGGTCGTAACCAGGACTGAACCAGGATTTAACCAGGACTAAACTAGGAATAAACCAGGTCTAAACCAGGACTATACGAGGACTATACCAGGATTAAAGGCAGGACTGAAACAGGATTAAACCAGAATTTAACCAGGATTAAAGTCTGGACTAAACTAGGAGTAAATCAAGACTCAACCAGGATTGAACCAGGACTAAACTAGGGCTAAATTAAACCAAGACTAAACCAGAATTAAAACAGAATTTAACCAGGATTTAACCAGGATTAAAGCCAGGATTGAAACAGGACTAAACTAGAATTAAACCAGGATTAAAACCTGGACTAAACTAGGAGTAAACCAAGACTCAACCAGGACAGAACCAGCACTAAAGAGGACTGAATCAGGACTAAACTAGACCTAAAGCAGGACTAAACCAGGATTAAAGCCAGGACTGAAACAGGATTAAACCAGAATTAAACCAGGATTAAAGTCTGGACTAAACTAGGAGTAAATCAAGACTAAACCAGGACTAAAGCAGGACTAAAGAAAAGACTAAACCAGCACTAAAACCATGTAAACCCTCGAGGAGCAGACTCAGGTCCCACGATGAAATTGGTGTTTTTTGTAAAAAGTTCCACACTGCACCTTTAAGCATGTTTCAGTGAGATAAACAGCGTGGCCTATTAAACCGGGGTTGAACAGATCTGTCCCTCGCTCCCAAACAAACCCGGGCTCAGATTGGACCCTGGCTGCTCTCTCTGTTTACCCACACATGGACTTTCACTGCTCTTATCTGCTCGGGTCATTTCCACTTCGCTCCAAACTTCCACCGCCGCCATGCTCCTCCGGCTCTTCTGCGTCCTGCTCTGCCCGGGCCCGGCTCTCCTCCTGGGCGACCTGGTGTTCCGGTGCCCCCCCTGCACGGCCGAGCTGCTGTCCCTGTGCCCCCAGGTGCCCGAGTTCTGCGGCGAGATCGTGAGGGAGCCCGGGTGCGGGTGCTGCCCCGTGTGCGCCCGGGCCGAGGGGGAGTTCTGCGGGGTCTACACTCCCAGGTGCCTCACGGGTCTGAGGTGTTACCCGGCGCCCGGAGCCCTGTTCCCCCTCCAGGACCTGCTCATGGGGCTGGGCAGGTGCGGGCAGAGGGTGGAGCTCCCAACGGTGACCAACGGTGAGTGTCGGTGTTTCGTTAAAGCTCCACCGCGTAGCTTTTCTGGTGGTGGGTCTGTCGTCGACTTGTGTCCATGGAAATGTGAATGGGACCGAGATCAATGTTTCTCAAACTGTGGCACGAGAGCTTCTTCAGGTGGGATTTGGAGCTCATTTGACCCACTTTTTTGTCCTTCTTTGGCCCACTTTTAGTCCTAGATTAGACCTGGAATAGTCCTGATTATAGACCTGGTTTAGTCCTAGATTAGACCTGGTTTAGTCCTAGATTAGACCTGGAATAGTCCTGTTATAGACCTGGTTTAGTCCTAGATTAGACCTGGTTTAGTCCTAGATTAGACCTGGAATAGTCCTGTTATAGACCTGGTTTAGTCCTAGATTAGACCTGGTTTAGTCCTGTTATAGACCTGGTTTAGTCCTAGATTAGACCTGGTTTAGTCCTAGATAAGACCTGGTTTAGACCTAGATTAGACCTGGTTTAGTCCTGTTATAGACCTGGTTTAAACCTAGATTAGACCTGGAATAGTCCTGTTATAGATTTGGTTTAGTCCGGTTCTAGACCTGGTTTAGTCCTAGATTAAACCTGGTTTAGTCTGGTTATAGACCTGGTTTAGTCCTAGGTTTAAACTGGAATAGTCCTGTTATAGACCTAGTTTAGTTCTAGGTTAGACCTGGTTTAATCCGGTTATAGACCTGGTTTAGTCCTACATTAGATCTGGAATTGTCCTGTTCTAGATCTGGAATAGTCCTGTCATAGTCCTGGTTTAGTCCTAAATTAGACCTGGTGTAGTCCTGTTTCAGTCCTGGTTTAGTTTTTTTTATTAAAGCTGGATTATGTGTAGGGGTGAAATGATCCACAGTGTGGCTTTAAATGTAAATGTTTATGGAGACAGGTGACACCGCTGCATGTTCCAGGTCAGATCTGTGGAAAAGTGACACCACATAGAGCATGAATCCATCCCTTTTTTTTTTTCCAAGGAATCATAGGAAACATTACCACAAGAACATCTCCATGGAGACAAGCAGGTAGATCCTCCACCAGAAAAGTTACAGAGTGCTCCTTTAAGTGCAGCCATATCCTTGTTTATGTAAGAACATTTTGAACATTAGACACAACTATCTGCTGAAAGTTCCTTTTGCAGTGCATTGGAAATGGGGGAAGAGCATTTCAGAGTCTTATAAAAGTGTTGCCTCAAGTCATGTTTTGTAGTTGGAATTGGATATATGTCGTTTCAGGGCAAACCATGGTTCTGGTTTAGTCCTGCTTTAGTCCTGACTTACCTTGACCTTTTTCAGTTCTGGTTTAAATCTGGTTTAGTCCTAGTTAAGAACTGCTTTGGTTTAGTCCTGGTTTAGAAATCTTTTGGTTTAGGTTTAGTCCAGGTTTAGTCCTGGTTTAGAACTGGTTTAGTCTTGACTTAGTCTTGGTTTAGACCTGGTTTAATCCTGGTTTAGACCTGGTTCAGTCCTGGCTTAGTCCTGGTTCCTGGTTTAGTCCTGGCCTGGTTTAGTCCTGGTTTAGACCTGGTTTAGTCCTGGTTTAGTCCTGGCCTGGTTTAGTCCTGGCCTGGTTTAGTCCTGGTTCCTGGTTTAGTCCTGGTTTAGTCCTGGTTGAGTCCTGGTTGAGTCCTGGTTGAGTCCTGGTTTAGTCCTGGTTCAGATCTGTTTTGTTCATGTGTTTAGTGAGTCAGGTTGATCATGGTTGTTGCATAAGTCAGTCTAGTACTTCTCAGAACAGAACACACCAAAACAGTTCCTGGTTTAGTCCTGGTTTAGAACACTTTTGGTTTAGGTCTAGTCCTGGTTTAGTCCTGGTTTAGTCCTGGCTTAGTCTTGGTTTAGTCCTTGTTCATGTATTTGATGACTCAGTTTGAACATGGTTGTTGCATAAGTCACTCTCATACTTCTCAGAACAGAACAGGTACAAAGGGATATTGTGCTTTTACGACTTTTTCTCTGTCATTATTTTTGATGACACATTGAACTCCGACTCCCATGATGCTCTCTGTCTCTGTACATCTGGTCTCTGTGATATGGTTTTGTGCGTGAGTGTGTGTGCAGGTGGTACAGTGGGGAGGTGGTGTCGTGTTAGATGGAAACGTGAGGTGTTTTTGCGTGGCTCGGGGCTGTTTCACACACACACATCAGCTGTGTGTGTGTGTGTGTGTGTGTAACTCATTTACAGCTGCGAGCTCCAGGCACACTGTGGTGATGAGGACACATACAGAACAGGTTTATTCACGGGTCAAACTACTGTACCATTTTAAAACTTCTCTAACCATTTTGTCCGTGTAGTTGAGCCAAACGTATAAAATAATAAAGGCTCCATGTCACACTCTTTTCTTATCTAGGTTAAAATGTCGTTTCCTCATCACAAACAGACCTGGAGTTGTGTTTTTGTTTTATTCACATGTTTACAGTGTTGGGAAGGTGACTTTTAAAATGTATTCCCCTACAGATTACAGATTACATACCCCAAAATGTAGTTTGTAACAGAATCCATTAAATTACTTAAAGTGAGTAACGTAATCTGAATACTTTGGATTACTTGATTTGCTTTACGAGGAGACATGGTCCGCACGGCATGATTTAGTCCTGTTAAATCCTGGTTTAGTCCTGGTTTTAGACCTGGTTTTAGATGTGGTTTAGACCTGGTTTAGATCTAATTTAGACCTGGTTTAGACCTGGTTTATGCCTGGTTTTAGACCTGATTTAGACCTGGTTTAAATCTAGTTTAGACCTGGTTTAAGACCTGAGTTTAGGCCTGTTTTAGACCTAGTTTTAGATCTAGTTTAGACCTGGTTTTAGTCCTGGTTTAGTCTTGGTTTAGATCTAGTTTAGACCTGGGGATATAGACCAAAATGTGAAAACAGGAAAATACCACCATGTAATCCATTTATTTCAACAAAGTAACTGTAATCCAATTACCACTCACTGAAACAGTAACTGTAACTGAATACAGTTACTCATAATTTGTACTCTGATTACGTAACTCCAGTACATGTAATCTGTTACTCTCCAACACTGCATGTTTAACACACAATCCTGCACATTTAGATTGAGTTCTGAATATTAAGACTTTGCTCCACCTTGTGATGTCATGCGGTGATGCAGGAAGTGCTCCACTGTACTCCATACACCTTCACTAAAATCATTTGGATCATTTCAGTCCTAGAACGTCCGATCCCCACTGAACTAAAGGTAAAACTGCACTGTGTGACATCACAAGGTGGAACAGAACATTTTGAGGTTTGGAGATGCAGACAGATTAATAATAAAAAGTTCCTCAAACATGTGTGAATGAAACAAAACACAACTCCTGACTGATTGACAGTCGAACAAACCCAACACTGTGGGTGACATCAGTGACGTCACTGAGTCCTTTTCTTTACACAGATTGTGTCTAGTGTGATTACAGATGTTTGTGTTGTGTGCTCTTTTGGTCAAAATAAATCAACTGCAATTATAAAGCGTTGTATTGTCCAACTAGTTGTTGTTAACTTTACCATGCTGCTAACAGTCTGGTGTTGTCTCTGAAAGTTGTGAAACGTGTTCATAAACTCATCACAGATAAATGAATGTGTGACAAAAATGAGGAACAACTTTGGACCACTGCAAACTGTTTGAAACAAACTAGTTCAATTTTTGTTTTGTTTTTTGCATTTTTCAGACAGAAAAAATCAGTTACAGAGCCTTTTACTAAACTACTGTTATTAAACTACTGTTCTGGAAGAAAATATGATGAGAAGACAGAGTGTGGTGGCCTCGTGCAGAGTCTGAGTGTAACTATAGACTGTATACTGACAGTTACACACTGTTATTCCAACATGTCGCTATTTCCACATTGACATCGTCTAATTGTCGGAGGAACAGCATAAACATTATTTTTCAAGCGTCCCACTACTTTGACTTTTTTTGTGTGTGTTTTTTTTTCATTGTCAGAGTAGCAACACTTTTTGTCAAACCGCTTTTCCGACATAAATAATGTGAGAGTCTATTGCTTTGCCTATATGCTTGGGCTGGTTCAAAACTCTTGATCAGAGAAAAGTTCAGCCACAGAGGAGATCAAACAGTGGGAAAATGTCCTAACTGAGCCGTGGGAAACAGTTGTACATTTTAATATGATATTCTCATCATAACATTCTATAGGCCTACATTATTTAATGCAGATGGGGGCAGCTAAAGTAAATAAAGTTGGACTGCAGATTTGTGTTGTAACACAGTGAGTTCTTGGGTCTGGTCACTAATAGAAATGATCAGGTTCAACATTTATGAATGTACTTTTTGAATATTTCATGACAAAATACATTACAGTCAACAGTAATAATCTCAGACTATGTTTACACTGAAACGTATCACTCTGTCACTGTATCAGGAACGATCTGCGTCCAGACACGTCCTTTCTGTGTCTGCAAGTCTTCCCTATCCACACAGCTTTGAGCTTATTTGTTTACATTTTACAGAAACAAAATTTAAAACCACATGACTCATTTGCATAAACTAAGCGCTCAAAAAAAAACCAGCTCACTGTTATTAAAGGACTCGACTCAGTGGAATCTGAGTGTTCTTTCTGTGACAGAGGGGTGTTCTGCTGATGGTGAGTCTGTTCTGTGTTTCTGTCGTGTTGGAGATGGTTCATGTGAAACTTTTCAGAGATTATACGTCTGCAGGTCGTACACACAGACACACGTATAGATGAATGGACATATATTCTAGCCTCTTGTCTTCTAGTGTTTTGTTGGTGAATTACTTCACGGTGCATAGACCTACATCAGAGTATCAGTGTTTTCAGGCGTCCACACGGTGCCGGATCAGATCTGTACTCAGATGAATTCATGGGAGCTGGAGGCACCAGATCTTAGATTTTAGATCTTAGATCTTGGAACCGTTTTTCAGTCAGATTAGTGTGAATGAAAAACTGCATCCGCCATGAAAACGACTCGAATATGTACTAGTGTGGACGGGGTTTCAGTATAATCTCTTTCCCCCCTTCTGGGTGAATGT